CCCAAACCATTCTATGATTCTATGAATCAAACTGGGGAATCAAAATGGCCAGACTGACAATCAGATTTGCCTCCTACTTTGCTCCAGCATTCATGTGAAGACAATTTGACTTTTCCCAGTATCCAGTAGGCCAACTAAACTCAAGCATTAAACTGAAGCTAAATTTATTAAGGTGTCATTAGGAGATGTTAATGTTGTGTATTGGCGCGATAATTCTGGAATTTGAAATCTTGTTTAGTACTTACAACATCTATCACGTGTGGCTAATTTGAACCAAGTATCATGACACTGTCCTGAGTGCTTTGGGGAACAATGTGTGATGGTTTTTAATTCCCCAAAGGTTTGAGAATGTCTAAATAGTGCAAGGGAAGCCTCTGTAGTGGTTCAGCCCCTCCACCAGAAGATACATGCTGGTTGCCCAAATGAGATCTGGGCATTAACTCAACATTTCTACATGTTTAGGCTAGACTTCTAAATAGCTTTTTGGACCTGTAATCCTTTCCAGCACACATATGTGTAGTCTCCTTACTATAGCATGGGAATGGTTGTGAAAGAGAAAAATTACTGAGGGTTGGGCTAGTCACACTAACTTTTTGTGTGTCGTTGAAACTTTAGAATCATAGAATCATAGAGTGGTTTGGGTTGGAAGGGACCTTAGAGATTGTTTAGATCCAACCCTCCTGCCATGGGCAGGAACACCTCTCACTAGACCAGGTTGCTCAAAGCCTCATCCAGCCTGGCCTTGAACATACCCAATAAAACCTACGATATACTTTTCCAAATTTATCAAAGTCTAAATGCTGGGAAATATATTCCTACCAGATCTTGGCAGATTTTGCAGTGTTTTCAGTGTGAACAAATAAAACGTGTACAAAGAACCAGCACACTGAATTTTTACCAACGTCACAGATTTTGGAGTTTGTTAATGCTGTAATTTAAGCTCAGGCTTGGCTCCTGGGCTTTGGACTGCAGAGGCTGCTGGCATGCTCTTGTAGTGTCTGTGGCCAGAGATGAATTTCGTTTAAGACACAATTGCCAAGAGTGGCGCCACGGCGCTGGAGAGGAGTCTACCTGCAGGGCTCTCCTCTGCCCGGCCATTCCTGGGAAGCAGCCTCTGGTATTGGATTAGAGGAGATTATTTTAGTAGCTGTTGTTTGGCTTATATTGGAGCTTTTCCCTCCAAAAGTGAAAAACAGAAAGTCCTGGAGTTCTCTTCCAGTCAGAGCTCCAGGGTAATCCTGTTTCTGCTCTTTCTCCTTGGAAGAGAGAGTCTAATATTAGCCAAGTCCTGGCACCGTTTCACAGCACCTCTTCTCAACTGGTGTTGAGGTCAGGCATGGGAAGGACTGAGAGAGTTCCAGCTTTTTTCTGGATATCTTTCTTTCATTCCCAGGACATGGGATCAGCAGTTAATATTGGACAAGCAGTTAGGAGCAGACTTCTGTCTGCAGCTCAGCTATGATTCATCTCCCATTCAAATGGCATAACAGATTGATGGGGCTGGGAGGCTCCTTACTGAACATAGGGACCCACACAGAGTTTCAGATTAGATTCTGTGGAATGGGTATAAGCTAAATATAGGGATTTAAACATTTAGAAGGCTCCAAAATAACTATAATTAAAAAAAAAAATAGAGATAAAATCTAGGGTCTGACCCAAGCTGAATGTTTGATGTAAGCATATCTATAAGCAGGATACGAACTAAGGTCTGAACAAGGTACAGAGTATTATGTTACCTCCCTGATCTTAACCTGAACTATGGATTTTATCATGCAAGTGAGAAGGCAAGTTTTTGAAATAAATAATCTACTTTAAAATGATCTTTATGTGAAGATCTAGACAATTCCAAAAACAAATTATCAAAAATTTAGATAAGCTCTATTTTACTGCTGACATTAAAAACATTCTTATCAAAAGATGTTTGCCTTTATTGCAGCACAAGAAGTATTTCAATTTGGGAAGATGTAAATTTCTGTGTCACTGGCTCCGTTATGAAAAGGAAACTGTGTGGAGATACCAGAAAAAGAGACTCTACTGTTGTCATGGTGACAGAAATTAGCAGCAGTTAAAACAGCAAACAATGGATTTTATGGTTTGGTCTAATAGTGGCGTAATTACTTAGAAGTCTATTTTGTCTATCAGCATTTCAATGCATAGGAATAATTCAGTGCTGCGCTCCTACTACATGATGCTCTCACTTAGTGTTTTTAGTCTATTAGAAGCAGAAATGCAGTAGCATCATTACCATAAATATTTTTGATTCCATCTGTGGTGGGAAGGCCAAGATAAATGTTCTCTAGCAATCCCACTTGAACACCTGTCATGCAGCAGAGAGCCTGCTAGACAGAAAGAAGCAGTCTGTGCTCATTGTTCTGTGATGGCAAAAAATAACCTGTATTCCACTGCAACTTTATCTCCTTTAAAATGGGTGGAGAATTTCAATTTGGTCACTCAAGTGTGTACATCATGGTTTATGTCAGGAATGCATTTTCTTTTGTGCAGAGACCTAATGTCTGCCTTTCTTTCTCCTCCCCATTATTTCTTCAGGTTGCAGAAATGGCAAATACCTTCACATCAATTCTCAAGTCTATAAATTGGGTTGTGACTACTGTTTCCTGTTGGTGGAATCAGCACAAAATGAAGACCATGAAGTAATGGTATGCCATAGCTTATGTCTGCCTTATTGAATGAAGTGAGTGCTTCGACACTGTCCTGTCCATTGCTGGTAAGTTCTGCATATTACCAGTGTTTATAGGTCAGACCTTTAAAACACTAAAGCATTTAGTCTCTTCTAGGTTTGGGTTTTTTTTTCAGTGACCAGCAGAATATTTTGGGGTTTTTAGACCAGGTAAATCTATATTAACACAAGAAATTTATATTATTGCAAACTCAGTGAAAAACTGAAAAATGGGTAAGTCACACGGATACGACCTGTTTTATCCTAGTCCAAGCACAACTAAAGTACAATGTGCAAAACAGGAGAGTCTTATTTTTGCCTTATTACATGACAGAAATTTGAAATGTTTGCTCTTTCAGGAGGAAAATACAACAAAACTTGCATAGGAACACTGAGTGTATTCAAAGCTCAGTATTAAATCCTTCTGCACATTTCCAAACATCATTTTTTATGCCCATGCTCCATGGTTTGTCGGCCAGCGCAATCATTTTTTCCTGATGAGGATGACCATGACACTCATCTGGCTGGAAAGTAACTAGCAAAAAGCAAGGTTGCTTTTAGCTGAATCGGTTATCCACTACTTCACTGCAGAGAGACCTGATTTGGCAAAAACAGAGGATAAGGCAGAGAAAGAACAAGGAGACAATGACAAAGCAAGAAGTGCTTGTTTTAGTGGCACTGCTGCCTCAAAATGTTCATGAAATAACCTCAGATTTAATTTCTTGTAAGATTTTTCCTTTTTGTTTTGTTGTCTTTTTCAGTGTAACTTAATGATGGAGGAACTACCTGTCTGCCATTTTTAAAGCAGACTTGGTAGCTTCAGCCCTTACTTTTTCGACTTTTAAATTTTGAGGATTCTTTTGTTTTGGGCGTCTTCAAATTACTCAACAACCTTTTAAAAATTAGCTATTAAGCTTATACTAACTAAAAGTTGGACAATACTGTAAATAAAATAAATTACAGTGCTCAACAAACTTAATTTTCCTTTCCTCAACCAAAGGAGTGTGAAGGTCTCTAAGCCTTGTTAAATCAAAGTGAAAACTTAATACCTCGCAACTCTTGAAGTTAGTGAGTAACCTTACATGGCCTCTTCTCCATGTCTCGAATGACCTTTCTTTAAGCCCTGAAGGACTTGACTTTTCACATTGTATCGGGTCTGTGTGGTGGGGTTCTGGTAGCTGAGGGGGTGCTGCAAGGGTGGCTCCTTTGTGAAGCTGCTAGAAGCTTCCCCAGCTCCGAGCTGGACATGCTGCTGGCCAAGGCTGAGCCAGTCAGTGATGGTGGATCCGCCTCTGTCGCAACATATTTAAGAGGGGCACAGCGCATGGAAGAAGGGTTGGCAGGGTGGTGCAGTCCCAGGCCCTGCCATCTGTGAATAACACATTCAAGAGGGACACAGTGCATGGAGCGGGCAGTGTGGCCCTGGCAGGGCCCAGGCGCAGCCCCAGCCCAAGAGCCAGGAGCTCTTCAGGAGCCAGTGAAAAAACCTACAGCAAAGAGAGGAGTGGGATGTGAGGGAGACAACTACACAGACATCAAGGTCAGTGAAGAGAAAGGAGGGGGAGGAGATGCCAGAGCAGAGATTCCCCTGCAGCCCATGGTGAGATGACATCTGTGCCTCTGCAGCCATGGAGGGTAACAGTGGAGGACAGACTCCCCTGCAGCCCCTGGAGGACCCCACACCAGAGGAGGTGGCTGTGCCCAAAGGAGGACCTGACTTTGTGGGAGGGACCCACACTGTAGCAATTAGTGGAGAACTGCAGCCCATGGGAAGGACTGGTGTTGGAGAAGTTCATGGAGGACTGTGGCACATGGGAGGGACCCCACTTTTGAGGAGTCCTCCCTCGGAGGAGGAAGGAGAGGCAGAAACAAGGTGTGATGAACTGACCGCAACCCCCATTCTCCATCCCCCTGCACTGCTGTGGGGAGGAAGTAGACAAATCAGGAGCTAAAGTTGAGCCCCGGAAGAAGTGAGGGGTGGGGGGGAAGGTATTTTTAAGATTTGGATTTATTTCTCATTATCCTGCTCTGTTTTGATTGGTAACAAATTAAGTTGACTTTTTTTTCCCCAAGTCTGTTTTTTGCCCATGATCATAATTGGTGAGTGATCCCTCCCTGTCCTTGTCTCAACCCACAAGTCTTTACCTTTTGTTCTTCTGATTCTCCTCCCTGTTCCAGAAGGTGCAGGGAGGACTGAGCGAGCAGCTGTATGGTGCTGGTTGCCAGATGCGCTTAAACCACAACACAAGTCCAGGTCTATGTCATATACTTTGACGTTTGATGGAAATTTGCGATTGCATTATTGTCACTGGTACATTGTTGTATGGAGCTGTCAACCATGCTCAGCTACACTGGCTGAAAATCTTCCAGTCATTATTTAAGAAACATAGCTAACAGTCCTTATTACTGTGTTTTCACATATTTTGCCCAGATGGAGTAGCAACCATCTTGTACCCAAAGGTATTATCTGGAAATCCAGAGTGAGGAAGTGAAGTGTTCAAGGCCAGGCTGGATGAGGCTTTGAGCAACCTGGTCTAGTGGAGGGTGTCCCTGCTCATGGCAGGGGGGGTGGAACTTGATGGTCTTTAAGGTCCCTTCCAATCCTAGATATTCTATGATTCTATGACAAGACAAATTTGTTGAAAAGGGTATGTAGAAATATTCAGAAGTTGTCTGACTCAAAAGAGTCCATACCTCAGGAGTATTTCTGAACAGTCTAGGGAAAAGCTGAACAGCTGGCCTGAGGTTGCTGCTGGAGATGTGGAACTACAGGCCTTCCCATCCACAGCAAGCTGAAAGCCCCATTTGCATGGCTGCTGTGTGAGAAGCTAGAATTGGTGAGGAATCCAGAAGGACACTTGGGTATCAGGTAGAACTGTGTGGCCCTTTCAGCGCTATTGTATGGCTGCAAATTACAAAGTTATTTCTGTTACAGCCTTTACCATCACAGATCATGCATGAACCATAGCAATTATCATGTTTCCTTACTATTGCTGAAAAATATGGTTCAGATGCATTATAAAGATTCAAAAAGTATATTGAACTATTATACATTCTAGTATATAGTATAATACTAGTATAGTACATATATACTACAGTTTGGGTAAGCATGTGTTCTCTTAATCTTCAGGAGATTGTCAAAGGAAGCAAGAAATTTCTGTAGGTGTTCTCTAAGCCAGGTCTGTAGTAGGAAATATTGGCAGAGAGGACCATCAAGCCTAAGTTGATGATTTTTCCTTGTACTCAATACCTGTTGTGTATGCATATATAAGGAAGTATTTTTGCCAGTTCCATGAATTGAATTATCTATACTGTCAAGAAACAAAACTAGACGTGATATACCAGCAAAAGTTTAGAATGTGCTGCTTTCAAATGTTTAACTTTCTGTTCAAGGAGGTAAATTTGCCCTGTGAGTATGCAATTCATTCCACAATGTTTTCACTGCCTTAAAGAAATCATATTCACTTTCCCAATGTATTCATAGCATAATTTTATTTGAGATTTAATGTCACCAAACAGAAATATCCCCTTTGCTGTATACTGATGGTTTTGTTTTTGTTAGCATGATGAAGCCATTCCTGTATTATTGAAATAAGTAGGATTTCTGCCACTTGCAGTAATGGAAAGCGGACTGGCACTCATGTTTCCAGGTTGGACAAGGAATTGTTCCAAATCATAATGCAGGACTTATTTTTTTGGCATGGCTTTACCTCTGTCAAGGTGGCTTTCTTCTTTATATGAAAAGGTCATGTTCTGTGTTACTAAAATCTTGTATATGCTGAGCTCTTGGCCTCTGAGATGGGCAAGGGATAAGAAGCAGCTTTTTCTGTTAATTTAGAGAAGTAATTTCTTTTCTCCAAATGCAAAGGTGAAGACATCACATTTTCCTCTCCTATTAGGAGTCAGGTACTCAAGTCAGTAAAGTTATTTTCTATTACTGAACTATCTGATCAGACTCTTAATCCCAATGGGGAAAAAAGGTTCCTGGAGCAAAGAGCATCAAATAGCTTTCTTTGGTGTTAATACCAATATGTGAAAATTAACTTCACTTTAATCTGCGATCTTTTAGTCATGTGGTAATTTACTAGAGAAAGTGAGGGGAACCCAAGGGACGTAAACCTGTCTAGTTGTCTAATTTACACTGTCTGAGAAAATGGTCTGCATAATTGCAAATAGTATAATTCTTAAACTTTACAAGGTGGAAGAGTCTCTTGGAGAAAAAAGAAGTACAAATAAAAGGTCCAGAAGAGATTCCTTACTACATAAGGTTCTGTCTTTACAGTAAAATTCAATGAGAGGCTGAGCAAGAAGAAACCAAGTGTTAGTATAAGGTCGTACCGGTGTAGTTGTATGGCACTGTTGTGCCAACTAACATGGGCACAACATTGTAATGCTGTCATGACATAGTTACTTTACCCCATAAAGAAACCTCATATTTCTGTGCAACTTTGGTTATTTCTGCGTAGCTCTGAGTTTTGTCAGATAGGTATATCATCACTACCTGCCAGTTCTCCTAAATTCTGCTTTTCCTAAGGATCAATTGGGATTACATTCTAACAGGGTTTTTTAACTTTTTCCAACAAAAAGGCACTGTGGTCAGAAAATTACACTTCCTAAAAGAAGCAATATTAAAGGCACAACAAGCAATCTGTCCCAGTGGAAAGCAGAGTATAAGTAGGTCCGGTATGATGCCATAGAACTGAAAAGAAATCCTAAAAATACATGGCTAACAATAATGATGAGGGATGGTGTGAAGAACCAAAGTCAGGATGACTACAGCATAACATGAATTAGAACTAGCATAAGGTTTTATAAATACAAAGCACGAGGAAAACAAAAAGAAGAGAAGAGTAAATAACAGATGACAGGGGAAGCTGTGTTTTAATTTGGTCTTTACAGAAAGTTAATAGTAGTCATCAACACGTTAGTAGAGTTTTAACTGGAGGACAGGAGTCTAGACTATAAAAAGGAAGTAACATCTTAAAGAATATTTAGATAAATTAGATTACACAAATTGTTAGGAAATCATGAAATTAATCTTAAACTAC